CGCTGTCACACAGCTGTCAACATTTGGCAAAGGGGAGGGGGTGGCAATGGGGTTGGGATAGCGATGGGGAGGTGGGTGGTGGGTGGTTGGGCGGTGCGATGAGGTCGAGGGGGCAGCGCAATCAGCGCTAATCTAATGAGTGTCACTGTTGCATGTGGCAAGTGTAACTAGAGCATTGTTCGCCATTGTTCAGCAGGTGTTTCGGAAGTCCCAAATGAAATGACAAAGTGCATTTTCCCATCGCACCTGCAGAGCGAAAAATTATGTTGTGCTTTGCCATTATCCTCCAATTCAAAACTTAATTATATCGGAATACATGATTGTAGGCCGAACAATATGTGTATTTTATATGAATTAATAATAAGTACATAACTCTATTTTCCTATAAATACTTTTGTAAATTTAGTAACATTTATAAGCTGAAAATTTAATAATTTTAAAATTGTTTTTTGTTTTTGGTTTTGTCGCAATACACAAAACAAAATGACTTTAAAAACCAATTTTTCACATTATACCTTCACACATTTTAAGCTTATTTGCTCATTAGCTAAATAATTATTCTAATAACTTAATTTACAAATATCGAAATAGTAAAAAATAAGTTAAAAATCTGAAGAAGTTTTAAATGGCTTTTGTTAACTAGTGCTACTAAAATACTACAGAATCAGTGGACTATATTGCGTCCACTTATCTTTAAATGTTATGTTCTCATAAAATGTTTTCGTCCATCAAATCAAACGTTTTCCGCAGTGTTCTCGTTTGGTGGCAGTTATGAATATTGCAGGATACCGAAATGACATCTTGTAACTTCTCAAGTATGTAACGGGGCTTTTATGTGCAGTTACCGTTACCGTTGGCAACAGAAGAAGAAGAAGTGGCAGGCGAATCCTGCAGAAGCGGCAAAGAGACAGCCGCCTGTCCCATCCAGCAGTCATATAAAAATAATTGTTTGCCAGCGCATTCATTACCCATGACAGCCTGCGATCCTTGCCAAGGATATTAAAAATGCAATTTCTGGCCGAAAAAAAAAGGGGAAAGGGAAAGGGAAGAGGGGAAAGTGCGTCGCACACACCGCAATTCGTGTGCATTTGCAAATTGGTTCGCCGGTCGGATAAGGACAACTCTCCAGTTGCAATTCCATTTAACGTCTCATCATTGCCGACTTGGACGCGGACATCAAATTAAATGCTCGAAACGCAATAAACATTAATAAAAATACGAATCAAGGTGCAGCATCCAGATGGGAATGGCATGGAAATGGCTCATAAACAAGTCCATCAAATAAAGTGCACACAGACGGGCCAACAAATTTTTTCCCTCGCTTCGTCCACTGGTGACTTTCGGCGTAAAAACCGCAGCACAATATTAACAATGACGCATGGAGCACAAACACACACACACACACAGAGATACCTACACAGACATGGCACCCACACAGGCAAATAACCATACAAACACACACATGGAGCAGACTATTAAATTTTAATACGCCATCCTGGCTGTGCCTTTATTTCATAAATTTTTAATGAAATTAAGCGGCAAAGCTTTTTGGGTTTTCGGGTTTCTGCCGCCGGTGTCTGAGTGTGGCCAGAGTATTTCGAAATAAATCATAAAAAGTGAAATATACATAAGTAAGCCCCACATCCAGACATCCAGAAGGACGAACATTGTTTGCATACCTTTTTAAATGGTTTTCCAACTTTCGGTTTTTGTTAACCGCAACTAAAAGTGCGCCCTGTTAAATTATGAATTAAGCGGTTTTATGCGTCTATATATATGCACACAGCACACATTCAGGATTTGGTCTTTTGTTTTTAATGAGTGCGACTGCAGGGGCTTGCATTTTTAAAAAGGTCAACTAGAACACAATGGGAACTTCCGGGAAATCCAGCTAGAGGTGCAAATGTTATTTGGTGTTTGTTAAACACTATTTAAAGAAGGGTTTATTAATTGAAACAATAGATCGGGGTCACCAAACTCTAACTTCGTCACAACCTCCTCTTTGTGTAGTCTTATACACATTTTTTTCAGTAGGCTTTATGCAAAACTCCTTTATTTGTTTAATTTTTATATTTTATGATTACAAAATAGAGTTAAATTCACTATTTTTATGGTAAAAATGAAATCCTCTTTAAAAAAAATTTAAAACCATTTTGCAAAGTCACGACTATCGCAAACACGACCCCTCTCTAAATCCGATCCCACAAATGCACCCCAAAAAGTATGCAACGCAAAACAAAAAGGAAAAAGTATTAAAAATAAGACACAACCCCCAGAAACCGGAGGACATGGCTGCCATATGCGAAATCAAAAGTTGTTTATGACTCAATTTGTAGTTTTGAACATGAATTATTGCAGCTGTGTGAGGGGCGGACCGAAAAAAAGACTTATAGAGAGAAGGAAGGCGAAAAAAAAAATCGGCAAACACGAATATGTGCTGCACACAAATTTCGGATGAGGAAAAACTAATTTCGCAAAGAGGAAATTAAATATGGCAAAGTTTGACATATGACAGATTTCTCGTTGTTGTTGCAGCTGCTCCTGCCGCTTGTTTCGATTTTATATTAATTTGTGCATGCGAATAATTGAAACATTTCTGGTGGCAAACATGCAAATTTCAATTTCAATTTGCAGCCAAACAAAGACTCAGCTCAGCTCTATGGACATTCTCAGCAGGACAACTCAGGTGGAGAGCACCTTTTGACAGGTCAAAGTGGAATTATTTGAACTGTTGTCATCCGATATAATGCCATCTGAGCCAAAATCCCTCTCCATTTCATTTCACTCGGTCGTCTCGTTTCATTTCATTTCATTTCGCATAGTTTGCTTTGTGTTTCGTCTGCTGGCCAATTTCGCATATTTTTACAACTTGCGCTTGGCACTTAATTTAGTCAATAACATGCAAATGATTCGCCCAGAGTCTAATTGGAAACGCAACTCAGCAGTCTGCGAAGTCGGCAGTCTGCAACTTTATCCCAGTTCGCCGTTCCTAGTCGCGACTCTCCGCCGGAATCCGCATTAAAAGCTGCGGTGCGTCAAACTTATAATCAAGAGGGGATTTCCGGCCACGGACGTGGTGGGGATCTGGGCCAAATGGGCGGGGATCCGGGGTAGGAACCCCAAGACTGATGGGCTACAGCGTTTCTGCATTTCATCACTGCTCCTTGACTAGGGACAAAATTTGCTTCCAGTGGGAGTATACCAAAAAAAAAATCTTGAATACAAACAGATTTAATTCTTTGGTTCTAAAAGTTGAATCGTATCCAATATTATAAATGAAAATACAGTTTAATAGACTATTTTGTAAGCCACCTCAGAGATAAATTAAATAGTTTTCTTTTTGTACCTTTATAATACAAAAGTATTAAAAGGCGAGTTCTTCAATAGACCGATACTATTTTTAACCACATTTAGTTGATAATATTGGCTTGAGTTTTAGCACAAGAGTTCTTAAATTAAAAACAATTACCTAAATTTTACAAAGGATTCCTTTGAATTTGAAATAAGCATAATATGGGCTTATAAACCAATACTGAAGTACACTATTTGAAAGGAAAAACAATGTTTTAGTAAAAAAATAAAAATTAAATTATGAGAGCCTTACACAACGCTAAGTATGTGACTTTTTTTCAAGAACGCTTCCCTCTACCTCTTCACTTACCTATTGTCCTGGCATGCTTAAAGTAAAATATGTTTTTTTCAGTGCTTTAAGTGCCATATGCAGGCGCTGCCAAGGATGCTCACATTCTTCATCATCAAGTGCTGCTCAGTTGCACGTCTGTGATATGACTCGGTTATTCGGCTGCGGTTACGATTCCACCCGAGTTTTCCCGGTTTGCCTGGCATTCTGTCTGTCAGTCTTGGGTTTTCCTTTTGGCTGCTCGGTGTGGGTTTCGGGTCTTATTTCGCAGAGAATGAAGCCACACACACACACACACACAATGCCGCGGCACTGTTGACACATTCCGCTGACAAATGGCCATAAGTGTATAATTGGATAGGAACTCGGAAGCGCGAGGCCATGGGGTATTCGAATATACTGTATACCCATTCCTATTTAATCCACCTAACCAAACTCTTTTATGCAAACTCACACGGAGGAGGCCATTCAATTAAATTAGCGTGGAGTGCAATCACCGGGCGAACAAACTAATATCTCTGGCCAGAATGCTTCATGGCTGACTACTTATCGCTTAATCACATCATGGGACCGGTGGTAACGGGGCATCTGCATAAAACATTTAGCAACATCAAATCGTTACTCGCCCATCCACACACATCAAAGCCAATCAAAATGGCATTTCAATAATATCAGAGCCATACAATCGCATCAGCAGGGGGTTTTTGGGCAGAAATGAATGGTGTGGTGGGGGGAGGGGTGGGTTGGGGGGGAGTTCTGTTGTAATGGAGCGCGCATATTTCGGTTCGATTCTCGATGTGCGAGTATGGGTGAGCTTATGAGTCACTGAACAGCTGTGCGTGTGTGTGTATGTGTATGAACACATCAATGATTCGCTCACAAATATTACAAGCTTGAGCACACACACACAGTTAGAAAGAGAGAGAAAAACATCGCAGTAGACAGAGACAGAAGCTGGCGGAAGTTGTGTCAAAGGATACTTTCGCTTTCCCCCAAAATGTCCTTGTCCTTGTCCAAATGTATATCAATTCGGATGGTGTGGGTGCGTCATAAAGATATTGACAGGCCCATAAAGATAACCGTAGTGGATTGTGAATGGCATGTCAAGGAAGAAATTAGGCGATGTTCTCACTCGAACTTTCACTTTCTCTGAATATTTTTCATAGTGGAAATTGTACTCATGTAAGAGGGGATCTACATGAACTTGTTTGGCTTAGATGCTGTTTCAGGATAATTATTTGTTTGAAATTACCAAATAGTTGATTCATAAATCAACAGTAAGAATGTGGTTTTAGAAACCCGTACCATTGCAAAAATAAATACCAATTTTTACTCCTATTCAGAAAGTATTCCAATCAAGTTTATCTATGTATATGTATATATCTATATCTATTATCTATTATTAAAATATTATTGTGTCACACTTAAATTTTGATTCCAGTTCTTCTGTTTGGCCTTCGCTAGATTTTAAATGGTGTAGTTCAGCTATTCCTGTTCCTTTTCCTTTTCATCGCAGTTGCAACACTTTTTCTTATTTTTCCCCTCTGCCCCTTCAGATCCTTTGTCCGTGGGGCAAGTGCCGATTTTACTTAGAGGATCCGCCAGTGGGAATTGTTTGTTAAACATGGGCTTGGGCATCGCTGGATACTCCTCTGGCATGTGAAGCTTGCAGGGACCGCACTCGGGTTTCTGGGCACCACCCGGACCACTTGCAACCGCCTTGTTCTGACCACTATGGAGTCCCATGCTGGACATGCCTCGCTGCTGCTGACCCGCTGGAGCACCACCTTCCTTGGAGCAGTCACAGCCATCAACCGCCGCCATCGTGGGTCGATTGGTGCCCACCGATTGCGTGGACACGTGGTTGAAATGCGGCTCACTTGTTATGCCACCACAATGCGGACATATGAAGGTCGACTGGTCAGCTTTCCCTTGACCCTGACCTTGACCTTGCCCCAATGAACAACTGCAATCATCGGTAGCTCCATATTGTTGCGGTTTCGGCTGAGCACATTCGGGAATGGGTGCCTGCTGCACCTTTTCCTTTCCAGTGCAACCACAATCTTCTTCCGGTGTGTCTGGGCAATCCTCCTGGCCAAATCCATCGCATCCCGTCTTTTCCGGGTACGAGCCCTCCTGATCTGGGCAATCATCCGCTTGTTTATCGGCCACCGGAAAGTAGTGTTCCTGATCCTTCTGCTGATCCTGGTCCTCGTCCTCGTCGACATCGCAACCACAGGTGGCTTCAGATTGCTTCTGCCCCGCCTGCTGACTCTTGAGATGCTGGGAGCAATCCTGGGGTTGTGGCTTTGTGGTGCAATCCTCCTTCTCCTGCTCACGTTGCAGCTCTTGCTCCCGCTTCTGGTGCTCCTGTTGCACCTGCATTTGCTGCTGCATGCATTCCTTTTGCTTCTGTTGCTGCTGCATCTGTTGCTGCTGCCGCTCATCTACGGAACACTCGCAGTCCGCATCATTTGATGGCTTTTTCCCCTGAAAGACAATTGATCCTGCCATCTGAGATTGCCCCTTTGGTTGCTGCTGACCGGAACAAGGACAATCGGGATCGTGCTGGGATCGCTGCATTTGGGATCTCTGCATTTGGGCTTGCTGTTGCATATGTGCTTCTGCTCCACAAGCGCAATCTGCCCCCGTTTGTTGCATCTGAGATCGCTGCATTTGGGCTTGCGATGGCTGCTGTTTCTGCGAACCACATACTCCACAACTGGCGGAACTTGGAGCACCATGCGAGCAATCCTTGCCCTGCGATTGCTGTTGCTGATGAGCTCCTGCTCCACAAGAGCAATCTGCTCCTGGTTGAGATCGCTGCATTTGAACTTGCGATTGCCGGTTGGGCTGTTGCTGTTGTGCTTGTGCCCCACAGGAACACTTGCCATTCTCCTGTTGCTGCTGAGATGGCTGATTTTGGGCAATGCCACACGAGCAACGATCATCCTGTTGATATGGACCGCTCATTGCTCCTGTGGACTTGTTCGCTGTCGCAACCGTGACTCCTGTTCCTGTTGAGGGATTGCCACATAGGCAGCACTTCTTGGAAGGCTGATCCTCCATGTTCGCCTCACTGGTGATGATGTACTCGTTCTTCCCGTTCCTCGGCCCTCCTGATTTGCCCTCCTTGCACTTGCAGCCCTCGTCAAGGTCGTCGGCTAGGCTTATTTCTTTTCCGTACTTGCAGAGGAACTCGATGACCACGCCGTTGGTCCAGCCGTAGCCCACTGGTGTGTTTTCCGGGCTAGTTCCTCCAGAAGAGCCGAATTCCTCGCAGTAATACTGGTACAAGGGAGAAGAAATCTGGTTATGTTACTGCCATTTTAAGCCGAAAAATTTAGAAGAAAGAAATTTATATGACAGGTTAGAAACCTTATGACAATCTATGCAAAGTATATCATGTCTCTAAAATTTATTATAAGTATTAGTATATTATGTAAATATTAGAATCAAAGATAATTATTGTTGTATGACAAAAACGTAATCTTTTCTAGGCGACGGAATACAAATTTTTATATCATGATCATTGATCAAGATTATCCAAAGAATTATAGATTTGTTAACGATTATGTTTCTTTCCCAGTAAAATACAATAAAATAATGAAATTTTTAAATAGAAACATTACCTATTGTCATTGATATAACTGAACTACATTATATGTAAAATATATATAGTAACTATTTACCTTCTCGAACATAAAGCTCTCGTATTTGAAGGCAGCATAGTTGGATTTGACCCAGCGATGAGCCCATCTTTTGGACATGGCCTTGGCCGCCGGAGTGCCCAGATTGTCCAGTCCCTCGACGACCAGGAACATCATGGGTGGATAGACATTCGGGTAGTCCCACTTCTGGCCCGCCTCCTTGTTCATCGTGTACGGCACGCCACCGTACTGCTGGTCCAAATTGTTGGTCTTGATGTACTGCATCACCCCCTTGGAAACCTTATCGGTGTCGACCAGGGGAAATGCCCTGGCCCACAAAGGAGCGAAGTTCGTGCAGCAGAAGTAGTTTCGCGGCTTATTGTTGGCCACATCGTAGTCCAACCAAATGCCCGCCTGCTCGTTCCACAAATTATCCCGAATGGCTTTGACCAGGCCACAAGCTCGATCCTGGTACTCATCGGCCTTCTTAGTGTTGCCCGCTTTGCGATTTAATTCGGCCAGGATTTTGCCATTCCTAAAGACAATGGCATTCAGCTCCACGGGCACAATGGCCGAGGTTTTGGTGTCCGCAAGGGATCCCTGATTGGAGCCATTGGGCGACACAACCCAGCGGGAACTGAAGTCCATGCCCGATTCGGAAGCCGACTTTAGTTCGGTGTACAGAACTTCGCGGGCCACAGAATCCCGAATGGTGGCCACCCTCATCAGATCTTCTCTGTAGGCTTCTGGTCTTGGTCCTGCGGAGGAATCCCGATATTGATACATGGTTCTGCCCTTCACTTGAATCGAGTGTTTGCTTATGAAGGTCTCGTATTCGGTCTCTAGTAGCGGCAGCGAATTAATGGCGTACTTCTCGTCCTTGGTCACCTCCACATAGGCTTTAACCATCATTATCAGAAGTGGTGGATTCGAGCGTCCCGTACAGTAAATCCTGCCGCAACCAGGCACAAATCCGTATTGCTGAACCAGTACCAAAAAGTTGTCGATCATTCCTCGGGCCGTTTGATGCATGCCACATTGAAGTAAGCCTCGAATTATCCAAAATGAGTCCCAGTAACGATACTCCCGGCAATCCGTGGCAGGTACTATGAAAGGATTGGGTATGTAGAGTATAGAATATTGATCGGGATTCTCCTTGACATCATCTTTAATGCGTCGGCCCAAATGCAGCCAAATTTTGTTCACATCGGATCCGAATTGCTTTATTTCGGGGTCGGAGATCTTTATAAGAAAAGATGGTTGGGGCTTCCAATCAGGTGGAGTCCAGGGTTCCAACTCCGTGCCAGGATCATTGAAGTGTTTCTGCAGTCAAAAATATAAGGTTAGTAATTCTGAAATTATTATTTTAGCTCAATAACAATAATATAACAAATTTGTGTTTTCTTTATTTTTGCTATTCAAAGCCAATAAATCCAATGGTTACGAAAAAAAAATAAAGAAAATATTTGGAAATTTGTACCTCTTTCTTTAACAAAACATATTTTATCTTACAACAAGAAAGGAAAGCTAACTTCGGGCGGAGCCGAAGTTGATATACCCTTGCAGAATATTCTGTAAATTATATTCTCCAAAATTATTTGTATGATGCATTCTTAATACTCATAAAAAATCCCAACTTCCTAACTTTAAAAACACCAAAGTTATGTCATTTCCAATCGTTCAGTTATATTGCAGCTATAGGATATAGTCGGCCGATCCTTATGAAATTTGGCAGGTCGGATTGATTGGCCAAAAATAAAACCCATAGATAATCCCAACTTCCTAACTTTACAAACACCAAAGTTATGGCATTTCCGATCAATCAGTTATATGGCAGCTATAGGATATAGTCGTCCGATCCTTATGAAATTTGGTAAGTCAGACTGATTAGCCAAAACTAAAACCCATAGAACTTCCTAACTTGCTAACTTTAAAAACACCAAAGTTATGGCATTTCCGATCGTTCAGTTATATGGCAGCTATATGATATAGTAGCCCGATCCGGCTCGTTCCGACTTATATACTACCTGCAATAGAAAGACAACTTTTGGGAAAGTTTCAAGCAGATAGCTTTAAAACTGAGGGACTAGTTTGCGTAGAAACGGACGGACGGACAGACGGACAGACGGATGGACAGACGGACGGACAGACGGACATGGCTTGATCGACTCTCCTGGTGATGCTGATCAAGAATATATATACTTTATAGGGTCGGAAATGTCTCCTTCACTGCGTTGCAAACTTTTGACTGAAATTATAATACCCTCTGCAAGGGTATAATAAGTCTGCAGATTTAAAGGAAGGTTCGATTGAAAATGATTAAGAAGTTGTTTTTATACAGAAACTAGACTGTAGCTAGTGTAATAAACCCTAAGTCATGACCTATCCGATTTTACCTCGACAAACATTTGCAGGAACCTCAAGGAGCCATCGTTCTTGCGGCAATTGCTGAACATATCGAAATCGGCCATCGTTTGGGTGGGTGTGAAAATGCAGCTCATGTCCACGAAGTGCTTGCAACAGGGAAACATATTCGACCGCTGGACAGCATCTAGCAGGGGGCCCTCACAGAAGACAGTTCTGGAATCGGAAATGGCTTTAAACCTGTTTATATTAAGGATCCAGGACATTCCATGACTCACCTGTTCTCCCCGCCAATAGTCTGTGCACCGCAGCGGCACTTGTTCGCCATCTTCAAGCCACGATTTTTCAGGTTTCTATGCGAAGGCCAAACTGATGAACAGATTGTACGATAACCAGGTCAAGTTAGGATTTTTGCCGAACAGTGACTCCCAGGCGACTGGGGTTCGGGGCATAAATCAAAAAACAGAGCAGCAGCCTCCGTTATATTGACCATTAAAGCAAATTTGTCGACATTTGCCATTAAGAGTCAACAATGCTCGGCCATAAATCAGCGTAAATAGACAGGAAGCGGCTGCGAATCCTTAGCTCCTTCCACAGGGCCACACATTTATTTTAAATTACCATAAATGCCCCTGACCGAAAACGAAACCAAAACAAGAGGAGTGCGGGTGAACTTTTGCCTAAAAGCTATTGGCCTCTGTGTCCATTTGTAATTTCCAGACAATTTATCAAACCAGCAAAGGCGGCGAGGGGCAAGGGGGAGTCGAAGTCGAAGGCCAGAAGTCGGAATGGAAATGGCGCAGAAAATGCGCTTCAAGTGGCCATGGCCATGACCGTCGACTGGTTGGATGGCCGGGAGATTTGAGTTCGAATAAAGTAAAAATTCTTCGATTCTTCCTGGACAATCAATTGGATGAACGAGAAGGGGAGGATGGTGGGCAATCAGCCGCGGGCGCGGCACTTCATAAATTCCTTTGCCCCGCCATCCACTTAAATGCAAGTTTTTGGCATCGGCATGGCATCTTTAGGGAAACTTCTCAAGAGGGAGAAATCGGAGAAACACGGAAATTAGCCTTGTCGCAATCGCATTCCCTGTCGTCTGCAAAGTTTCAATTGAATTTTCGTCCGGCAAAAAAATGCAGCAAACTTCAACTTTACGCCGTGCTCGAGAACAGATCCGCCAAATAATTAATTTTGCATATGTGAAAATGCAGCCAGAGGACGTGCAAAGGAAGTCCCTACACTTGTTCTGACACTTGACCCGCGGGCAGTGTGATCAACTTAACGAGCAGGGAGGTGTGAGTCATGGAGTCCAGTGCACAGAGAAAAGAGCATACTAAGTCACGTATTTACTTTTAAAACAAGGCTTAAGATGAGTAGCTAAAGATTTAACATCCGCACAAAAAGTTCTTACTTAAAACTTAACTCATATTTTAATGAACAATACACCCTTGTTGACATATTAATTACTATTTTTCTTTAAAAAAAACAACTTGGGAATTACAAGATTTACAGAATTAACCTTTTCTGAGCATGCTAGAATACTTGTTGTTAATTTTTGTTACTAGAAATATTTGAACACTAAATTATCTAAGACTTCATTGCATTAATTTCAAATGCAATCCGTTCAATTTCAAGAATTGTTTCTCAATATTTTTATTGAAAATCGTAAGTAAAATAAAGGTATTTTTTAAATGAGAAAATATAATTAAAATTCCCCTACTTAATATTTTCTTAAAGTTTTTATCTGTGCAGCTTCTTTTAGTGCAATTTTTTGTTCAGTGTAGCTGCATGGCTCATCATCGTCATTCACAGTCGCAGCTAATTGAGTATTCTTCCCTTAAGTGGACACAGCCGCCACTGGCGCCTTTCAGCCTCATTTGCAGGCTCCCGCACATAAATCAATAAGTTGCATTCGGCCTTAAATTAATTAAAAAGAAAATTCGCAGAGAGCAGTGAGCGGATTTTTTATTTTATTTTTCTTTTGCTGCTGTTGGCAAATACGCTGCAGTCCTTATAGTTGGAGTCTGTGCTTAAACACTCCGCCAGCTGACAGCAATCAATCAAAAATTGCACTGGCCTTAGCGCGACGGGTGGTGCCGGATGTATCACGTCGCACCACCCAAATCCACCCAAAATACACCCACCCACCCACTTTCCAGCGAAGGAGCAGGAGCATGATAAATTGTCAACACGCTGACGTTTGTCTGCAGCGATTTAAAAACTACTTAAAATGTAAATGTTGTTTCCCTGTTGCTGCTGTGCTCGTGTTGCTGCTGTACTCGTGTTGCTGCTGTGTTTGGGTTTTATGCACACGTCGCGCAGCGTAGACTGCGAAAATCATGTTGTTGACTTTGAAAAAATATGTGTAAAAATGCGCTATTGTAAATAACAGAACATAAACCCCGAGAGACGACGGCGGGAGGGAGTTCCTAGTTGACTGACTGTCTGAGGGAGAGTGATGACATGGCAATGTCAACGCCAGCAACAGCAGCAACAACTGCTGCTGCACGGCGGCAACATCAGCAGCAGCAGCAACACAGCAACAATGTATGAAGATGCCTCGCCTCTGTGATTGCATTTTTACACTTGTCAGTGGATTTGGTGCAACCTCTGTTTGTCTCCGCACTTTGTCGTCTAGTGTTTGAAGTTTAACACCGAGCAACACAAACATCAGCCGCAGCAACATCCTGCTGTCGCCCGTTTCCCTGGACTCCAAATGAGTTATAAATTCTGCTGTCAAGTATTTTGACAATTGATTAATTGAAATCGACTTGGTAACTTTTACTACAGTTGATAAGCAGGCACACACACGCACATCGGGGCAGAGAGGAAAACGGAAGTGGGCTGTCAATCACCCAGCCCCCCGGCTACATCCATGGATCATTTGTTGATGAGCTAAACTTTGACCGGGTCAGAGATCAAACAAAAGGGCGAAAGACTAGAGGGTAAGCCGCAGACGTTCGAAATTAAGCAAAAGTCTAGTTAAACAGAAAAGTTTTGGCCTTACCATCCAGCGATATACATCTTTGGCCTGCCCTTCAAGTTGACAACTTAAATTGTTAGTTGGCTGATAAGCCGCCAGCCGACTGCCGCTGCCCCGCCCCCCTTTCCAGTCGAAGTGGGCGTATATAACATTTTTATTTATATCACTATTTTTTATATATGGCGGTAGTGTTGGGGTGGAAGCAAAACCAAACGGAACACGCGCCACATGCCAACGACAAACAAATAAATAAAATTCCTCTTTCGGCATAGACACCACCCCTCTTCATCCAAGGTTTTTTGCGAGGGGTCAACTCTGAAGAAGTGTGTGTGTTTTACAAGTCTATTAACTTGTGGCGCTTATCTAATGCTGACAGCAAGTTTTTCACTTTGCCAAAGTTTTGGCCCGGAAAACGCAACTTCCTGTTTGGCGGGTGGGAATTTTCGAGGAGGGACTACGTAGTTTAGGGGCAGTGCCGATGTCAATCATTTGTTGATCATTTTTCTTTGAGCCCATGCATAATATATGGCCATCATTTGTAGATGACCACAACTGTATTCTTCTTCCACTGCACAAAAATATATTCTATGATATTATAAATTTATAACTTTTTCTTAGAAAAGTATTGAGTATTTCTTAACCCATAATTTCTTTATTTAGGGAATTCACTGAAACAATATACTGACATACTACACACTGTTATAGTTTCTTAAAAGTGCTTTAAATATGGAAGCTACTCCTCAAAAAAAAAATATAATTTTTCATGTCACTATCAAATTGATATATATTTATATATTCCAAATTTAAATAGAATACACAAACGTTTTAATTGAAAAATTCTTTAAAAAAAATCATATCCTTAGTACAAAAAAATTACACGATAAAGGAAAGTTATTTAAAAAACCTTACTCTGAGACATAATTTGTATATATGTATCTGTTTCTACAAAATATGAACAAAATGTGCACCATTTTCGTGCAGTTTAGAAGAACTTAGAAAGTGCCCATCCATGTGCTGAAAGCAAAAGTGCCAGACTGTCGGAGAAAAACTTTTGCTTGTGTAAACTCTTGATTTCTTTGGCAGTAAGGACAGGGAATTGGTCAAACTAGTGGCTGCTTCATTAAATGCGACGCCAAAAAGTTGCATCCGTGCAGCTGCTGAAAATATTTATGAACTGTCCGACTGCCGCCATGCCATACATATACTATATATATATAGTGAAGTATAGTGCTGGCCAAGTCGGAGTGTCACACCCCACCTGGCCACCTTTTTTCAATAAACTTTAAGCATTACGGTTATTAGTTTCAGGACGGGCACATAAAAACTTCAGCCCGAGTCGAGACACTGTTGGCCAACAACAGCAAACGGGGCCAACAACTTTGTGTTGCCACTTTGGCGATGCTATCTGCAATCTACTCCTGCTGCTGCTGCTGCTGTTGCTGTTGCCACTCTGTAGCAGCAACATGTTGCTGATGCTGATAGTGCCTGCGTTGACTAGTTGACTATGTTGCCATTCTGGAAATGGCTGAATGGGTCCTATGGAAATTACGGAAACCGTGATACTTCCAAGTGCATTACATGCAAAGTCCTTACGGCAGTGACAACAGCAGCAGCAGCAGTACGACAGCAGCAACAGCAACAACAGCAACAACGGCAACTTATTAACGCGCAATCTGAGCTCTGCAATTGACCGCAATGGGCGGGACTGGGCACGGGGGGCAGTGGAGGGTTAAGGCTGCGGATCCTGAAGCAGGATCCTGATGACGTCGACGACGACAGACGGAAACGGAAACGGCAAATAAACGCACGAGCGCTGACGTGCGGGCACCAGCGTGTCAGCGTCCGTGTCTTTGTGTTGCTGCTGTTCTGCACTTGTTTGCATGCAACGTGGCAACATGGCAACGACAATGCCAGCAACAGCAACAGCAACTGCAACAACAACAGCAGCAACTGCAACAGCAGCAGCAGCAACGGGCATTTATCTGGCTGCCCAGACCTGCCACGCCCCTCGTAATACATTGCGGTCGGGATGTTGCATGTTTGTGGGCGCTCGCCTGCGTTTGTATTTTTTCTATACCCACCAACTCCCAAACTTAAGGGGTATACTCAATTTTTAAATCCTTATAATTAAGTTCTGACTTACAAATTATATAGGAACATCGTTTAAAAATTAATTTTTGAAGTAAATTAAATATATTTATAAAGACGTTTCTTAGTTTACTTATGGTAGCCTGTATTTACCTTTTTGGAAACAATTATTTAGTAGTTTCTTCAACAATACCGGTAGTAAATAAAATTTTAAATTGTAGTACTAAAAACATTTACATTAAGCCATATTTTAATACAAATTTTTAATAAACTTGCACCTAATAACAAATATTTAAAGTTACTGGCTTTTGTTACTGGATAGGAAAATGAAATGGACTTA